CCGCAAGGCTGTGTAGACATCCTGTCAACCTGCTTGTGTCATATGCCTAACTTTCCCGCTTTTTCCTTTCTTTTCTCTCAAAGTCCTCAAACTTAGCATCATAATCGTCTTCAGCATCAACGTTCTATTACTTCGTCTTCGATATCTTCCCACAATGGCCTTCACCAAGACCCTCATACCTTCGTCCATCCTCCGAGGCCTGCAAGCCCTCCTCGCTATCGTAGTCCTAGGCTTGAGTGTAACCCTCATCAAAGGCCACGATCCTGGTCACCATAGCGACGTATCAGGCGTACCGAAATTGCTTTTCCTCACAGCGTGCATCGGTGGTCTCACTCTTGCCGGAGCCATCATTGGTTTTGTGTTGGCATGCACAGAGTTTCTACGAGGGTACTTCGAAGTACTCATCGACATTGTAGTCTTATTGGCAAACCTTGTCGGTGGGGTGGTAAGCCCCGCTCCCATTCAGAGCAGGTCGAATGAAACGGCTGACGAATGCTAGCTCCTAGCCATCCGGCTTCAAGGCAAAAATTGTGCGGACACTGGTGACATCAATCGGTTTGCCGACGGCTCCGGTAAATATGGGCTTGTGGGTATCGACATATTGAACGGCGGCTGCAATGAGGACGGGTGCATATACTCCACTCCAAAAGAAGCATGGCATCTCAATACGCGGTGCAAGCAAAGTCAAGCAGACTCGGTTTTCATGTTCCTAACGGTCGTGGTGTTATTCGTAGCACTGGCTCTTACCTACCTGCGTATAAAGAGAGCACACTGAAGCCACATTGAGCTGGCTGGTTGTAAGGTGGTGAGACCTACGCAAGAAAGATCAACGAGAACAGGAAAGCAAAGGAAAGTGCACGTAGCCAGAGAAGATTCGCAGAGACAAGAAGCCCATGTAATGTAATATCATGTTTCATTTCAATCACTCACTAAACGTGCCCACTACCGTCCAAACTCCTGTTCTCGTACTCCGCAGCCGCGTCAACGCCGTGCACGTCCAGCCTTTTGGTGTCCGCTTCGCTCAAATTCCCAACTACGCCGTCCGATACAAAGACATCGTTCGAGGCTTAGACCGGGCAAGACTGTAGCGCAAGTTAGCCATGCTGTTCTACAAAAGGTGTCCCCGAGCGTCTTACGCTGCCGCAAGATCCACAGGTCTTGGCATCGCCGCTAATAGTAGAGCCGCACTTTGGGCAGTCGCTGTGGAAGTTGACAAGTTCGATTGTAGACTGCATGTTGGCTGTTTGCCGTGCTTCTGCTGAGTTTCTTTCGTGTGGAATGTTGCGATGTCGTGGAGTAGTAGATTGCTGATAGATGATAGAAGTTGGAGGGGCAAAGTGGGGTTGATATACAGAGCTTCTGCAGGGCCAGGCAGCTACCTCAAGCCGAGGCGGCTAGTGCATATGCCGTCAGATGACTGGCACGCGGTAAATGCGGTGGACCTCGCGATTGGAGGTGAGTGAGACGCGTGGGATGGGTGTTTCGCCATACGGGCGGCAAGGGAGACGGTTTCGCCCGATAGGAAGCAAGTAAGTGGAGTACGCTGTATGTTGAGAAAGACCGAGGACCTCGAGGTATAGTTCGCATCCCTATCATTTGACGGGAGGAAAGGCCGAGGAGAAACTCTAGACAAGCTTCCGATTATTACCTATAGATCCTACCTAACATGGCAGATGACCTGTCCGTTGATAACAGCGAACCAGCCATCCTCCTTCTTCTCCATTTCTCGCCATGTCGCAGCGATCTCTTCCAGATCCTGCTCCGTCGCATATCCGCTGTCCAGAGCCCGCTGTTTGTAGTCGCTTTGCACCGTCCGATCGGCCCAGAGTCCACACCACCACTGTCGCTCTTCTGGTGTGCTGAATGTCCAGGCTGCTACGCTAGCCTCGATGTCGCTTCTTGGGAAACCCGCTTGCAAGGCTATCGCATGCACGTACCTGCCCATGTTTGGATGTGCCTTGAGCCCGAACGCAATCTTGATGTATAGTTCCTTCCACTTCTGCATCCCTTCGTGCTCTGGATACCAGTCCATTGCGCTGTAGTTGCACTCTCGGACTGCGACGATGCTGCCTGGCTTGGTCAAGCGCTTCATTTCCTTCATCGCACCCAGCGGATCTTGTAGATGCTGCAGCACTTGATGCGCATGTACAATATCGAAGCCTGCCTCTTCTACACCATCGAGCTTGTTCCATTCATGTATATCCCCTGCCTCGAACCGTATGTTTGTGATGCCTTTTTCCTCCGCGTGTTTTCGCGCCTTCTCGATGACTTCGGCGGAGGGATCGATGGCATAGACGAAGCCTTGTGGGACGCGCGCGGCAAGATCGACGCTGATAGTTCCTGGACCGCAGCCCACGTCGAGTATCTTGAGCGAAGGGTTGTTCAGGTAAGGAAGGAGGTGAGGACACGAGTTCTCGACAGTACGCCAGCTGTGGGAGCGGAGGACGGATGCGTGATGGCCGTGAAGGTATGGTCCTGACATTGTTGCTAATTGAGGTAATTGTGGTAATCGTATTCAAGCTCTAGTGAGTAGTAGTCAATTGAGGGTGTAGTGTGCAACTCAAGCAACGGAGAATCAGAAGCGTTGTTATACGAACAGTCGTTCCTGCAGCCTGTGTTAGTCGCGGAGTTAGTTGGACATAACGCGTGTGCAGTCGGGAATAACGTGTTTAAGTATTTCATACTCCGAAGTCGGTGTCAAAGCACTCTGGCTTTTCGTATACACGTTCGAGAGCCAGCATGGGGTGACAATGGAGGGGGTGGTTAACAGGCGGCACCTGTGCATCTCCAAGTCCGAGCATCGGCCATCTCGGTACCATTGCTTAGTCACCCATTCGATCGGCCACCTCCATACCTCCACCATCTACTCCAACATCTCAAGAGCCAAGTCGCGCATTACCAGAATGTGTACAAGGCACAACACGTACCCAGCATGAGTCTCACAGTACAATCTAACACCAGTGACCCTGGCCGCCCCAGCCACCCACCAAAACACCAACCACCCTAGTCCCAAAACAGACAATGGTAAATCCTCCCCAAACCTCACAATCAAGATATTACCCACACATTACACACGCGCGCGCATGCTGCCGTACGCCTGCTTTTGCGCATAACCTCACCCTCGGGTCAACTCGGTCCCACTGCAACCTGTATCTCATCCTGAAGTTGCCGCATCGAGTAGGTCTTGTCGCAAACCGTGGATTGCGGGAAACGTGCATTGTCCGTTTTGGATGTGGTCGGCATGTATGTTTTGGGTAGCGCCGCATGTGTTCATGCATGGAATATGGACTGGTGGGTTTGTGGTAAGGACTGCGTGAGCATATACGCGGGAGGGGGTTTGACTGGTGCGCGAGGGATGGATGGCTGATGGGGCGGGGTGACGGATGGGGTAATGGGGAGCGAGGGGACAGGGGATACATATTGGAGAGTGGTAGGCTAATTGGAACTGTATAGTTGTATTTTGGTTCTTTGCGACGAAGGTTGTGGGATGAGGCAGTTGTACAAAATGGTAATGCGTATGCTAAGCTAATCGCAAGAGAAAACGATGATACTAAGAAATGAGGAACGTATTTTTCGTACCAAAAGAGGTAATGGTGGTAGTACAAGCCCAAGCGAACCACAAGGAGGACAAAGAAAAACCCAAGCAATGCCGCAGTGCCCACCAATTCACCAGAACACCGACTCGCAAAACATGCGACTACCTCCTCGAGAACCTGCCGTCAAATGAGTCTGCCTCTCGGTCATACCCAGCCAGACTCTTTCGTCTCCGACCCCCCTCCGCCAGACTAGCGCTCCTCCGACTCCCCTTACTTCTCACCGAAGTAGAATATCCAATGCCGCTGTCCCTCCGACTACCCGGCTGCTCGATCACCTCCACGATATCCTCCTCATGCTTGAGCTGCCGGGTATCGTGATCATCCGAGAGATGCTTGATAAGAGCCTTCACGTCACCGCAGATGGTATCCGAGTCCGCGTACTTGGAGCAAATAACGCAGCAATATTGGCCGTCGGGACCATCACGATGACACTTGACGACGAAGCGGTTCTGGACTTGAAAGGTTCGTTCTGTGTCGTCAGCCCATTTAGAGATTTCCCATGCTTTTCCTGGTGAGAGGTGGAGTTCGCCTCTGCAGTGTGGACAATAGGGGTCTCGGTCTGATGTTATGCTGGTGGCAAGCTGTTGGGTTGGGTTCCGTTGGAGGTCGTATGCGTATACGCAGTATAGGTTGTTAGAGGCTGAGATCATCGTGGGTCTGGTTACGGAGGTGGCATCGGTGACTGATTGCTCTGGCTCGACGTTGTCTCGCCATGCGAGCACTGTTGTGTTGACAGGGCTGCTACTTCGCACGTGTGAACTCCGGGATCGTGGTTCCGGATACTTCATCAGAGCTGTGGATGCTGAACCCATACTAGCACCAGACTGAGGCAGTGTCAACGCGCGCGATGGTGCATGTGATTGCATGTGCGAAGGCGCATGCGAAGGTGCCTGGGACATGATGTGGGATGGTGCATACGGCGGTGCCTGGGATCCTGTCAAAGACTTCGCACGAGATCGCGTACGGGATGTCACGTGTGACGGTACATGCGATGGCGCGTGGGAAGTATGGTGAGATGACATGTGTGATGGCGCATGAGAAGTATGGTGGGATGGCGCGTGCGAAGGCGGGCGCGAGGTATGATGTGACGATACATGTGAAGGCGCATGCGATGCATGGAGGGTCATTGCTTGTGATGGCGCATGCGACGGGCTCGAACGTGCCGTGAAAGAGTGCATCGACCGCGGTGTAAGCGGCCTCTCATCTTGTTGACGTTCCTGCAACGCAGCCAATATCTCGACCGACGTCGCAGCTGCTACTCTGGATGCCGCATTGATGTTCGCTAGCTGATGGGCGATGGTGTCGCCTGATGTGGGTCCGTATAGGAATGTGGTGACCAGCACGCTTTGGAGGGTAATGATCTGTGACTGGAGGGCTGTATGCGCGGTTACTGATAGTGTCTCGTTAGCTGATGGGTCTCATGGGGTTCAGAAGAGGAAGAGCACGCATACCATCGCCCATGGCGAACTCGGCCCCCAGAGTTTCACATCCGATATCCATCTGCCTCATGACCACAGCTTTGTCCGTCACGATAGCCTCATCGCTACCCAGTCGGTCATCCTTCACATACTCGATCCGCCTTGAAGCAGGGTATCCTTTGCTGCGCAGGTTTTCTTCATAGTCTCTTTGCTCCTTGGCCGTGAGCGTCCCGTAAAGATCCCTTGTGGCATCAAAGACATCCAAGAGTGTGTTCACGAGCGACTGCACGACATTCGCCGGATCATCGGGAGGGTTCTGGGGTCGGTCGTCAGTACGCCCATTCATCGAACAACATGCCTTGCTTGCATATATACGGGCCGAATAGGAGGTATGCTTACTATGACCGCGACGCTCATGATCCGACTTTGCTGTTTTTTACTTGTTGTCGTTCCGGTTCCTGCTTCCTGCCGCACCGTACTTCCCTGATATGTATAAGACAGAAACAAACCTGGCTCGCAGTCGAAAGGGGAGCTGAGCGTAGCGAAACTAAAGTAGTTTAAAACTAAGAGCTGAAGCCTAAGCAGTCACGTTCTAGGCACCACCACATAGGGGTCCCCTGTTACCTATACAAAACGTCCCACGCTCTCCAACCCACAGACCCTTTGAATAAGCTCCGTAACGGATTGCTTCCCCACTCAAGCCCTACTTTGTTATGAATCGCCTCATGCTTGATGATGGCTTGGACAGCTGGCAGGGCGCCATTGGTGCTGAGCGCACCTTTGATTGGAACATCCACCGCTACGGGCCGCGCCAGGAACGTGCCCGCATGGAGCTTGACGTCATTCCTCAAACGTAGCGCCGCGCCGATGGGAATTGTGGGTGTGACTTTAGTGCCAGTGCGCGGGGTGGATGCGTCGTATTACTTCTCTGGGTCGCGGTGGAGATGATAAGACCCAAATGCGGGTATAACGCCTTGTGTCATACTCAAACGGGTCCATTGTACGGGTGGGTTGTGCCCACGGTCTCGACGTTTCTGAATTTTTACCTACATGCAACATGATGTAGGGTGGGAGCGGTCTGGGGAGTCGCAAACTATTGAAGTGACTGTATCGTGCATGTCGCTCGAGAGCGTGCATTGGGACGCGCTGGTTGCGCTTGGGGAATACGGTGTCGGAACACGTCATCGGGCGCGAGCAAAAGCGCAAAACGCGACCGAGCTATGTACGCGCCTCCCGCGACGATGTTGCTCGGGTATGGATGAGAACGGTCCTTTTTGGATCGCGGCTCTGTTTTGGGCGCCATCGTGTGATCGGGTGCGAGAGTAACAGTGTGACTAGGGGTTGGGATCGTGGCAGGCTCTCGATCATCGCCGGCTTAGCGTGTTACTAGCGCAGGATGCTCGTGCTGCCGGCCTCACAACATCGGGGTCAGACACCGGAAGTCGTAATATCCATACGAATTTACATGCAGAATGAATACAGCATTGAGTTTGTGACCGGAAGATCTAGTATGCAATTAAGGGTCACCCGCTGTCGGCGTTGGTCAAACGTTCACCTAGTACAGATACAATCAGCTAATAATATACCAGAGAGCACAGCCAAGGAGTGCGACTAAGCTATCATATTTACACGACCAGCATGTCAGCCTCGAATATCCGTCTGTTGAGTTCTAAGACACTGTCGTGTAAAGGACACACTACTGCGATACGTAGTCATGCTTGCCCAGCACGAGCGGTGAGTCTAGGACAGCCAGATCCCGACACCTTCAAAGACACCGAAAATGTACCACATGCCTCTTCTACCACTTCAAAATCTGCCAGGGATGGTATAGATTAGCGTTTAGTTGCATCGTCTAGCTCCCCCGAAGACGAGCAGAGACAGATTGTTGCCATCCCAGTGACGCTCTCGGAAGCCTCCGACTCCCAGAACCTTGCCTCACTCTGCAGATTCCTCTGGCTCGACACTCCTACTCTTGCTATCTTCGAGGCTCTTCTCTTTGATAAACCACGCAAAGATGGCGCTCCCTGCAACAAGCACAATGCCTACACATAATGCAGCCCTAGTAGCCCTTCCGTAACACTCCCGGACGATGCTCTTCAGTGCCGGATCCAGACCCCTGTAGTAAGCCAATCCAGCCCTGACGCGCTCCGCAATCTCAGCCGCATCGTCACCTTGCAGCTTTTCCTGGAGAGATCTGCGGAGTGTCTGGTTAAACGCCGTAGCGCACATGGAAACACCGAAGACTGACCCGAGAGAGCGGAAAAGGTAGGAACAGGCGGTGGCAACGGCTTGGTCGGTGTGTGAGGCATTCGCGATGAGGCCGATGAGTGTCGTCGTTACTCCTATGCCATTGCTAAAAGAGCATACGCATGTAGCCACCACCATCGCCGGTAAGCTCTCGGTTAATAGGCCAGCGAATAGGAGGATGAATGAGAGCCCGATCGTGAGGTTCGTATACGCCATGACGGTGATCCAGTAATACTTCGCAGTACGCCTCATGTAAAAGCCGCTGAAAAGCGAGCCGCTAACACCGAGGATGATGGAAGGGACAAGGAATAGTCCAGCTTTGGAAGCGCTGTAGTCGCCCATGACCTGCCAATAAAGCGGTATGAAGAACAAGGCAGCCAACCATCCCCCGAAAGAGAAGAAGTTGCAAAGATAGCATGCGAAGAGCGTCTTGTTGAGGATGATCCGGCCTGGAGCGAAGGGATGACTTGCGACGTACTTCTCGACTAGCACGAAGACGACGAACAGCGGCGTAGATGCGAGACCGACAATAGTGATGGGGTTACCCCAGGATACGTTGGAGCCGCGATCGAGACCGACAAGTAAACCGAAGACGGCGAAGATCAGGATGACCGCGCCCAGGAAGTCTATCCTCTTGATCTTCTCTTTCCAGTGCGAGTGGTCTTGCTCTGGGAGATCAAGCACCAATGACACAGCAATGAAGGCCGCAGCGCACATCGGACCTTGCGCCAGGAACGAATATCGCCATCCAATGCTATCCGCGAGTAACCCACCAAGAGGCGCACCAGCCGAAGCACCAAAAGCGTAGATCAAGTTGACATAGCCCCTAAATGTAGGTGTGTGAAGTCAGTGTATGCCTCACACGCACTTCGTACAGAGAGACTTACTGCCACTGCCCCCTCTCCCTCAACCCCACAATATCACTCAACAAAATACTCGTGCACACACTCATACCGCCACCCCCAATCCCCGCAAAAGCCCTCGCAGCAACCAACTTCAAACGTGAGGATACGAAGTCAGTGTATATATCATGTGCGTTTCGTACATGTACGACTTACCTCACCAATGCTCCTCGCAAGCCCACACCCCACACTCCCAACCCCAAAGATCAAATACGCAGACAACAGACATTGTTTTCTTCCAAAGATATCAGAAAGTTTTCCATACAGCGGCTGGAACGCAGATAGCGTGAGGAAATACCCCGTCGCAATCCAGGAGGTAGAGGACAGGGCGTGTAGATCCGTGCCGATGGTGCCGTAGGTGGTTATGACGAGGGTTTGGTCGGCGGAGGATAGGAAGACCTGTCAGTTCACTCATCAGTTCCGAGAGCTTTTGGGCAACAACAAAGTATGAAGGGATGGTAAGAGAGGTTACGTACACCAATAGCAATAGCAGGAAATATATATTTCATCCTCTTCCTGACTTCAGGCAGGCCCTGGTGTTTAAACGCGTCGCCATGGCTGACTTGGCGCTCGATGTCTCCTCCATCTTCTGCGTGCAGTCCTTCTGGTGCGATACCAGTTTCTACAACGGTTGTCTGCGCGTCGTTCGTGGGGTTTGGCAGGAGTGGGGTGGTTTCATGCGCAGGGACATGCTCGTCGGGTGGGAGATTCGGCGTCATTGCGGCGGGGTCGGGATGGCTTGCATGCAACGGCGAGACGCTGGATACTGCTCAAGACATGGAGGAGTGTGAAAGCGAGCTTTAGCTGTAGCTCTTTGACGCGCAAGTATGACTCTTCATCAGAGTTGTCATGGCGATGATCGGTAAGCTGCGACGCGTAGTTGCTGGGACAATTTTCATAAGCCGCGTTATGTCCGTAGGGCGTAGTGGGGCTGGATCAGATAGGCAGGTCGTTGGATGGATCACGGGAAGTCGTGATATCACGAACGCGTTTCACAGATAACGAGGATGCAGCTGCAGAAAACGTCGAGTCGCTAATGTACAGAATAGACTGCAGTAACTATGATACTTCCGCAGACCGGACCATGCATAAACCGGGAATGAGGTATGGAGTGCACATTTCATAACGACTATCATTAATCGCAGCGATTTCATTGCAGTATACCGACAAATTAAGCGGGTTGGTATTTCCTCAGCTGTGATGAGATTAGCGAACAGTGCATAGACAGTTGGGAGGAAGGAGCGACTTACATCTAAACTCAAGTACTTGCTCGTCATCTTGCCTTGGTCCCGCATAACACCGACCAACGTCTCACTCTCCTGGAAGAAGCCTGCCTTCAAAGAGATAACAATGAATTGCATACCGGGGCTAGCATGCTCGCGCACATACTTAGCCACTCTGCTGACATTGACGTTGTCTAATGCGGCATCGACTTCATCGAGGACGAAGAACGGCGAAGGCTGGTAGCTGTGGATGGCAAATAGCAGAGCGAGCGCGGCAATCGTCTTCTCACCACCAGATAGATGCTCCATGTCGCGGAAACGCTTGAGCGGTGGCATGGCGTGGTATTTGAGACCTGCGAGGTACGGCTCCGAGCTGTCTTCCATGTCGAGATATGCTTGTCCTCCAAGCGGAAACTGTGGCGACTTGGTCAGGTCCTTGTAGGTACCACCGATGTTCTCGGAAATATGGTTGAAAGCCTTCATGAAGAGATCGTAGCGCTTGGTCTTGACTTCTTCGAAAGCCTTCTTTGCAGCAGCGGCGCGCTTGCGCGTCTCGGCGAATGCTTCGTCGACGGCTTTAAGACGCGCTTCTGTTGCAACGAGACGTTCAGCAGCGCGCATGTTGGGTGTAGCCTTGTTGATTTCGGTCTCGAGGTTCGTGATCACGTCGGACAACTTGGCTTCTGCAGCCTTGAGCAGATTGCCCGCTTGCGATTGCACGCGCTCATCTGGGTCGTCCTCCTGCGCGGCGTTAGTACAAATCATATAGACGTCGACTCTGGCACTTACACTCTCAAGTATCTCAACAACCTCCGTCTTCAGCTCGTCGTCGAGCTGTTCAAAGTCGACTTCGATGCCATAGTCATCCACCTCCGCGGCCTGTATCTGGGTCGAATCAGGGTCCTCGTCAATGTCCATAGCGTCTGCGTCCGCGTCGGGCCGCGGCATATCAGTCATGGGTAGGGACGTCAGCGGTTTAGAGTCTTCCGTGAGTGGAATCTTGATCTCGTTGACACGGCACTCCTTGAGCACATTGTAACGGTTTGTCGCGCTCGACTTGATCTTTGCATCCTCCTGGTCGACTTCCTTCAGCACATTCTTGACCTTTTCGTTACGCTGGTCTAGAGTGCGTCGTGCCTCCTTCACAGCGGCAACACGTTCAGCGAGTTTTTCTTCCAACCGCTGTCGTTGATCCTGCAGCGTTTCCAACTCAGCCTGAAGTACGTCACGGGCGCTTTGCAGCTCTTCCCGCTTGGCTTCGAGCTCAGTAATGTCAGCAGTCTTGCGCTTAATCTCCTCCTCGGCTTGCTTGAGACGTTCCTCAACACCTCGGGCCGATGAGTCGACCTGCTTCATCAGATATTGAAGTCTGCTGCGCTGTTTGCTGAACTCGAGACGCTTTTCTGCTGCTTCTTGCTGAACAGTACCCTGTTGAGCTTCGTAGTCGCGAATGGACTCGTAGCCGAGCCGTTGGCAGAACGCGGCGAAGACCTGGTCATTGACCTGATTCACCGTGTCTTGATAGGTTTGGAGTTCTTCCTCCCGGTTCTGCAGCCGTTGCGCTTGCTTCTCGTAGTTGGGCCGAACGCCCTTCAACTCGCTCTTGTGATGTGCTAGCTCCTTCTTGACGCTCTCAATGTTGCGACCAAGTGCCCGGGCTTCCTCTTCAGCTCGAGCAATTTGCTCTTGTAGGTCTAGCAACTCGACTTCGAGAGCCTGTTCCTGGGTGTACTGACGATCTTGCTTGGGAAGCGCGCGGAGCTCTTCTTCATATCTGTTCTTCTTGTCCAGAAGCGCCTGGTAGGACCGCTCATCCCATTGTTGCTCGCTTGAATCGTCGTCACGGTCAAGCTCACCACCCGTCTGTGTACCGCCTTTGCCGATTACACGACCGTCCAGGGTGACTGCCTTGACTTCGATGCGTCTTGTGTACCTGAGCTCTTTCGCGAGCTTCTCTGTGTTACAGATCATGGTGTTGCCACATGCCGCAGTCATAGCGCGCTCGTGCTTGGGCTCATAGTTGATACAGTCAATAGCAAGTCGCATGCCTTCGTGCATACCCTTCAGTTGGGGGTCTACCGCCTGAATCTGGATGGAGTCTAGTGGGTTGAAAGACATGACACCAATGCGTTCTGCCTTCAGGTATTCGATGCATGACTTGGCGGTGGTTTCGGTGTCGACAATGACGGTATCCATCTGGTGTCCGAGCACTCGTCCAATGGCCTTGCGGTATTTCTGCATCTTGGGGGTGATGAGATCCTTGTATCGGCCATGCACTTTCTCAGATCCAAAGCGAGTCTTCAAGCGATCGATAGTTCTGCGAGCCTCCTGTTGCTTCCTTGACTCTCGACGGCTGCCTTCGACGATGCTGAGTTGCTTCAGAACTTCCTGCAGCAACTGGTTCTTCTCGTAGTATTGCATCTCGATCTGCTTTCGGTCGGCGCGGAGTCTGTCAAGCTCCTGCTGTTTGGCGGCTCTTGCGCTTTTCAGATCCTTGACTTGCGTCTTGGAAGCCTTCAGGCGCTCCTCGAGCTGGCTGATGTCTGCATTCAGCCTCTCGACAGCCTTCTCGTGATTGTCGACGCTCTGCTGGAGGTTCTTGACATGGTCCCGGTCGGTCTCGACTTCGCGCTTGAGCTTGTCTATCTGCATTTGGTCTCCGTGGGTCCGCTTCGTAACGTCGCTGCGTAGCCGGCCGTATTCTTGGAGGTCCTGCTCGGAAAGCTCGCGGCCCTGGTTCTGGGCAGCCGCCTTGAAGTCATCCTCCCACTTCTTTTCGGCCTTTTGGACCAGATCGAGGTCCTTCTGGCATTTCTCGACAGCCTTCTTCTCAGCGTCGCGCTTCTTCCGGAGCTCGTCCAGTCTGCTCTCGTATTTACGGCGGGTCTCGTTGGAAAGGCGGATCTTCTCCTCGATAGGTGCGAGCTCGTTGGAGGCGTCCTCGATCTCCTTCTCCTTGGCCTTGGTGTTGCGGTCAGTCTTGGTCAGATCTCGCCTGATCTTGGCCTCGGCCTGCCTCTCCGCCTCGTGCCGCTGGTGGTACTTCTCGACGCTGCGCTTGTGCTCCTTGAGCTCTTCCTGGTGGCTGGCGATTTTGTTCCGCGCCTTCTCCATAATCTGCTGGTCCAGGTAGAGCTTCCATAGGTTCTTTGTGACAACAGCTTCGTCGCGCTCGGCGAGCTTCTTCTCGTATTCGTCGGCTTCGGCCTTTTGCTCCTGATATGTCTTGAGCTCTCCGTTGATGCCGCGACGCTCGTGCAGATGTTTCGCGTTGTCTTCGGTGGCGTTCTCGGACTCTTCCTTGAGGCGGTCGTATTCGGCCTTTTGCTCGAGACTGCCAGAGATGCGCTCGACCTGTAGTGTCAGCTGCTCGGGCGCGGTCGTCGCCAGCTTCTCCACGTCTCCCTGGAAGACGAGGAAATTCCGCGCTTTGACCAAGATGCTGTGCTCCTCCAGCGCCTCACCGTACTGCTTCTGGGTGACGATGCGGTTGTTGATTCGGTACTCGCTAGAGCCGGAGCTGGTGATGGCGCGCTGCCACTCGTGCGTCTGCTCAGCGTCGTCCTCGAAGACGGCCTTGACCCAGGCGTTCTGGGGATCGTTGCGCTGTGAGCTGGTTTGCGAGTCGCCGTTGTCCTGTGTGTCGCCATTGGACTGGCCGTTCGCGTCGCCATTCGCATCGCCGTCGGCTTCGGTTACGGTGCCATCGGCGTTGATTCTCGCTTCCTGGATGATCCTGCCGCGGTAGACCATGTCCTTCAACTTCTCGGATCGCAGATGGGACGACCGGACTCCCAGGACGAAGGAGATGGCGTCCATGCTGTTCGACTTGCCCGAGCCATTGGGACCGATGATGGAGGTGAAGTACGAGTCGCCGAAGAGGAGCGTGTGGCGTCCGCGGTACGACTTGAAGTCTGCGCATGTTTAGTCTGTGGATGCAAGCAATTGCGCGTCGGGGGGCCTACTGTAGATCTCGAGCCGCACGAGCTTTCCCATGATGGCGGTGGGGATGCGCGACACCTAAACTGGTGAGTGCGCGGTGGGAGGGTCGTGTTGGGCGGGTTTGGAGTCGCGGGGTGGGCTGCCCGTGATAATCGTCGTGTTGTCGCGCGTAGTCGCGTTGACGGCCAAAGCGCGCTAGTGGCTCGACGTGCATGGTGGCCCGCAGTGACGAAAGCGTGGCCGCACGCAGGGGAGCTCGACACCGGCCCTGCTTGTCTACCTACATTTTCCTATGTTCGCTGCAGTCTCGGGGAACCTGCGCCGTCTTTCTAAGCCCTCTGTCCACTTCGCCTCCCCTCGTGACCTCTTCGACCTCGCATGCCACGGGTGCCTGCGATGACGTTGTGAAGCTTGCCAATCACCAGCTTGCATTCACCCACGACCTCTGCCCCAGAAGCCCCCAAGTTCAGAGAGGAGCACGATTCTCGACCCCCGCACATCACTCGCCTTGTCATGAGAGCATAGGGTCTGACTAGATCTGATCTGAGCCGCCCCTTCCTACTGTACGCTCTGTTCTATGATATACCGCCTCTGCTCCGACCATGGACCGGGGGCACTCGCAGCGATATACAGCAGCTAACAGGCATGACGGCTGCAGGTTCACCCCCGCGTCCCTTCAAGAGACCCCTCCACCGCCGAACCCCCTCTAGCCTCGAAATCGTCCAAGAGGAACTGCCCACCATGGCGACCCCCGACGATGCAGGTATAGGCGGTATCCCCAAATCCAGGTCTGAACCGCAGCTGGGAGTCTCTGGGCTTTCGGCCCGTCCGACTCCAGGCGACTCTACGCTGCTGGATGAGCCTGTATCCTCCGCAAATCAACCACTGTCCACACCTGGTCTCTCCCGCTCTGCCTCTTTCTCCAACAGCTCCTACCACGATGACTCCGACGTCGAAGATGCCGCCTTCTTCCCGCCCGTCGAGAAGCTCACCATGTTCGACTTTGTCGAGAACCTCGCCCTGTCGCAGCGTATCGAGAAGATCCAGAGCTCCATCGCCTCCCAGACAGAGAAGATCAAGAACCAAGCCAAGAACCGGGGCATCACAAAAGACCGCGTTGTGGAAGAGTGGCGGCGAAGAGTGCCGTCGGAAGCAGAGCAGCTTGAGAAGTACAAGAGACGCATGCGCCATTCGGTCGATCGCCTGAACCGCCGCTGGAGCGAGTCGCTCACTGTCACTGCGCGCGAAAAGGCCTCGTTCATCGCCGCCGTCATGAACATCTTCGTCTCGGGATACCTCGTGGGCTGCCACCCTGACCTGTTCCCACACTGGTACACAGCTCAGTTGCTCTACTTCATGCCCATCCGCTTCATGACCTACCACAAGAAGGGCTACCACTACTTCCTGGCCGATCTGTGCTACTTCGTCAACATACTACTGGTTCTGAGTGTCTGGGTCTTCCCGCAGTCTAAGCGCCTGTTCATCGCGACATACTGCCTCTGCATGGGAAACAATGCCGTCGCTATTGTCATGTGGCGTAACTCGCTAGTCTTCCACAGCATGGACAAGGTCGTCAGGTAAGGAGCACATTCCTCTAACATCAACCACCTACTAATCTGCCTAGTCTCTTCATCCACATCATGCCCTGCGTCACTCTACACTGCCTTGTTCACCTGCTGCCCCCAGAATACCAGCAAGAGAAATATCCCGCCATCTACGATATCCGCCATTCGGATCCAACCTCGCCTCACCACTATAACCTACTGCAAATGATGGTCTGGGCTACTTGTCCATATGCTGTCTGGCAGGTCGCCTACCACCTGCTCATCACAGTACGTCGCCGCGATAAGATTGCCGCAGGCCGACCTACTAGCTTCACATGGTTGCGCAAGTCGTACGCCAAAACCTGGATCGGCAAGATAGTCCTCTCGCTGCCCGACTTCATGCAAGAGCCTGCCTTCATGTTCATCCAATACAGCTATGCTGTCGTCACCATGCTACCCTGCCCCATCTGGTTCTGGTACCGCTGGCCGAGTGGTTTGTTCCTCACCGTTGTCTTCATCTGGAGTGTCTACAACGGCGCAACCTTTTACATCGACGTCTTCGGCAACCGCTTCCAGAAGGAGCTGGAACAACTGAAGAAGGACATGGCAAAGTGGCAGGCGTCACCAGAAGGCGCTTTCACGCCCTTTACGCCAATGGAAGGAGGCAACGAGAAGCAATTAGGTTACATCCCTCCTCTCGAAGGCAGCACAAGCGTCAAGCCTGTGGACGGAGAGACAAGGGAGAGGAAGTAGCTTGCTAACAAGCGTTTTCATTAACAGATTCACGACGACCATGTAAATGCGCAAATCCTGTTTTACGAACTGTCTACACGATTCCAGAATGAGACGATCTAGGCGTTTGATTTGCTTCAACTAGTTTGCTTTCCGTACTTGCGTTTGAAGGCTGCATCCGCGCGCGTTTGATTTGTTGCATTGCCTAGACTGGTTGGTTGGTTGATATACCCCCTTTCCTTCGCTAAGTCTTGTCACTCTTCGTTATAGCTTACTTCTAATGCTCAAGTTTCTATATCATTCTTACAACTCGGTCTTTCTCAGCATCTCTATATACGCCATTGCTGTACAAACATTGTACCAAAATACATACTAACGACACAGTATCCATCTGCTTATACATACAGGATTACCGTGTCTTGTCCTATTATATCAGAGCTTGTCTCCTCCTTGACGGCCCAGGGTTCATATACGTCTCACCAGCCGTCATATCCTTGCTCGAAAGCTCGATCCGTTCATGCGCCTTCAGTCTTTGAGATACGTACAAAGTCCATTGCAATGGTCAAAGTCGCAATGGTGATACTCTTCCGCAGCGGGTGGAGGCGAAGGACGAGGCTCTTGCTCTCCACCCCTTGTTTCACCGCGGTGTCCACGCTGGTCTTCAAGTCGCCGAACTAGAGCTTGGAACGCATTCCAGGTCTCTTCTCGCCCCCGTCTCTCTCTCTCTCTACATCACTGCTCAATCCGAGTGCGTGCCGCCGCATGGTTCGCATAGTGTATTGGAATGCTTCTCGGATTTCTCGCGCCTGCTGGGTTGCTGCTATGGCGACTGCGGTTGCGGCTACGGCCTGCTCTGCGGCTTGGTCTGCGAGTTGTGCTTGAGCCTGAGCATACGCATAAGCCTGAGCGGCTATTGCAGCTTGTGCTTGAGCGTTCCGCGCAGCTTGTGCTTGGGCATGTGCTGCGTTTTGGGCTTCGGCTTCGGCTTCTCGTGTCTGTTTTTTCGCAATAGCGGCGTTGATGGTGTTGGTGGTGGCATCCTCGATGGAGGTTTGGAGGCGAGATGGTGATGGCATTTTCGGTGTGCTGGTATCTTGCTTTGTGTGGGTGAATGTTATTGGGTTGCGGTCCGAGAACATCTGCCACAGGAAGGATTTTCCATTATTTTATCTACTCGGGGAGTCGGAGATGCTGGTCACTACTTGAAGTCTACCGTTTCGGAAGTGGCTGACCTTTCTTTCACAGCACACGTTCTCCGCCTCTAAAAGCCTCGTTCACCAAACTTCCACTCGTATCCCACCGTATTTCACCTCCTCACCCTCGATTTCGACTCTCAATCTAGTGAAAGTACTTCCAAGTCACCCCCCTCGTGACCGCCCACCCCTTCTCCAGCGCCTCCACAACCTTCTCATCCAACGGTCCCTTCTCAAAGTCTTTGAGATTCATCTCCAACTGCTCCTTGCTACTCGCCCCGATGATAACCTTATCCCCAAACTCTTTCTTGAGCTGACTATGATGCATCATCCACCGAAGCGCCGTTTCACTCTCCGTCTGCCCTTCAGGTAATTCAGACCGCAGGCTCTCGATCGCATTGAAGAACTCGTCGTTCCAGTAGCGCGCGCGGTACATCTTGCCTTGCATACCTGTGAAACATTGATGTCAGCTCTAAATCACCCTCAATCCTTGTAGGATATAGATTGATGCGAGGTATCGACTTACGGTTCGCGTCAAACCGACTGCCAGCCTCCAGAGCATCATTCTGCGTCTCGCGCTTATACCGCGAGGTCAACCACCCGCCAGCCAACGGATTGAACGCGTAGAATGACATGTTGTATCTGCGCAGACAAGGGAGCAGTTCGTGTTCGATGCTGCGGTGGAGGGCGTTGTATACGCCCTGGTATACGCTCGGTAGCTGGTATCCGTTTGCTTTGCAAATCTCGCAGATTGCTGCGACTGTGGTGAATGGTTAGCAAGGTATCTGATATTGAGAAATGAGGGAGGGTTGGAAGGGAAGGGACAGGAAGCATGCATGAACTGAACTAAACATACCCTCCCAAGCCATGAAATTACTAACACCCCACCTCTTAAACCTCTTCGCTCCCCCCTCCTCAAACAACTCATGCACCGCCCTCGCCGTCTCCTCAAGCGGCACACTCCGATCCGGCGCATGCAGATACCACAGATCCACGCCTTCGGTTCCAAGCGCAGTAAGACTCTCCTCCAAACTCTTGCCCATATCCTCTTTCCTAGAGTGAGTCGGTGTGCGACTGAAAAGTCCATGGACGTTGGGGAAGAACTTGGTGTCCATTATGAGACCGCGCTTCTGCCAGAAAAGTTTGGCGAGGTATTCTTCGGATGTGCCGTCCTGGGTTTGTTAGTTCGGTGGGGAGAGGAGGGCGAGAGGGAATGAGTATGCGTACGCCATAGAAACGACTCGTGTCGACCTCGTTGTGGCCGTAGGATTGGAAGGTATCGAGGATAGCTGCGCAATCGTTTATATCCGAAGTGCGGACTTGTTCTTCGCCTTCGCGGCCGAAGGTCATGCAGCCGAAGACGATGTCGAGGGGGGTTTTGGATGACATGGTTGGTAAGATGGTCAAGTTTTCCGTTGAGGCGATCTCGATTCTGGGTACATGATATTTTGGATGTTTGGGTTACTTATACTTCTGGCAACAACGACATCATTACACATCTTCCATGTGGAGCTGTGGAGATAAGTGGTCATGATATGCAGGGTCTTGGCGGAGTTTGACGGAGTTAACGCGGGTTACAACTCGG